GTAATTGCTGTCCAACTAATTGATGACACTGGATTAAAAACTACAGAGGAACTGTAATTGGTTTGGACCATGCCATAAATTCTCTCTCTCATTTTTTTGGTGAAGTGTGAGAATCCAAAATAAACCCAGGCATCCTGGATGATCCGTAAAGTTCTCCTCAGCAAGACTGATCTTTGATCTACTTTTTATGGAGATCATGAAGATTTCTTACTCTGATGACTAGTGGGATATTTTTTTTTTTTTTTTCTGGATACAATGAATATGATTTCTGTTCCCATACTGCACAGGTAAAATCCTTTAAATTCTCCCTCCAGAGACCAATATGGTTATGGAAAAGAATACTGCCTGCTACCATAATGGCATGGGAGAGAAACTAAAACAGGTGGATGCCCCACAGCAGTGCTCATAGCAAAGCAACTAAGAATAGTAATAGTGGAGCAGCACATCTGCTGTTGACTTTGCTGTAACATAACCTTTCTAACGCTATCTTCAAATCTACACTCGTGCCCAGTTACCCTGTAACTTAGTTTGCATCCTTCTCTTTTTTTTTTTTCTTTGCTTCATGAGATAGGCTTCTTCCTGAAGTATAATTGTGGTATCAGCCTAAAGGGCTGAAACTGCCTCTCGAACTGCAGTAGGCAGTATGTCTATCTGATTGATCATCACAAAGCAGAGTGGCAGCGGGAGGCAAAGTCATCGGCACTGAATGTTCTAAGAAGGCCTTTTTTGTACTGAGATTAAGCTATCATGAAATATTTACGCTCACTTCTGCATGCGCTTTATTGTCTGTTGGATATGTGCTTAGAAAGAGTTTGCTTAACCAATATAATACTGCCATCAGTGTTATGATGCAGAAGCTAGTGAGTTTATGCCAACGGTTAATTTTTGTTCTTAAATAAAGCTTTTTACACTTATGCCTTGTCATTATCTTTGTGTGCATTATTTCTATACAACCGTATCATATATATTTACATGATCTGGCTGTACTTACTGCATGCAGTTCTATGAGAATTTCATTTGATGCAATATAATTCACTTTGAAACCCTCAGTACATAAAATAAAGTAGTAATAATGGTATTATGTGGGACTTTTCCAATTGATTCATCTTTTCAATGAAATGTAAAAGAAGTCCTCTACTACAAATTACTATAAATGGATGAAAATGTCCTAAAATACAGATACATGAAGAGCTTCCTCAAACTGTGTCCTTTCTCAAGCTGAGAGCACAACCTGCTTAATTTGCCACTGCAAACACTGGCCACTGCAGAAAGTGCAGAATGGTTTTGCAATAATTATTTTGTACTTTAACATGAATTAGATGTAAGGGTCAAGGAAATTAACACTAGAATACCATTTAATCTAGGGCATTAATCATTGTTAACTCATCTAATTTTACAATTAAACTGAATATTCAATCTGTCAACCCTTCAGAGTATCCAATCTTTTTGTTCAATCTTAGCATTTTTTTGTTTTTACTTAGAGAAAAGTTTATTATCAGGAAGCATGTCACTGAACTGTTAATGTAATCAATTCCTTTTAATTTTCAAACCATTCTGGTGCTTTACTTTACAAAGTACAAAACTAGATATGATTAGATAATTATTATAGTTTGGTTAGACTGTACGCAATTCGTGGTGCTACCAGGAACATGAAACAATGTTACTCTGCAAAACATTATCTTAGGGTCTAAAAACAAGCTAGAGACATGGCAAATAAAGAAGACTGAAGAACGATAAGGCACAAAGCCTTTATCTCTGTATTGCTGGTTCCATTTCGGCTGATATTAACAGCAGCTGAATAATTATCACAAGGATACGCAGCGGCTGACTGCAAGTGAATGAATGTGCGGTCTCACAAAATTTCCAGCTACAGAAGTTCCTGTGCTAAGGCTGCTGCTGTGTATGACACCAACCTGAATGGCCAGAGCACAGAAGTACGGCATAGCCAGGACCCTAGTACACCTCGCTATACCTAACAGGGTTCTGTTCCTGATCAGCAATGAGATGAGACAGCCAGGTAATGCAAAGTCTGTTCACCGATGCCCTCCAGGAGATAAAGAAATCCACTCCCTTGAGCTAAAACTTCACAAAATGTAAACTACCCAGAGAAAAGACTTCTGCTAAACTGGCAGCACCTCCCAGCATGCAGCCTGGCATACCAGGCTGAGGCTAATGACACCATGGTTTGCAGAGGACTAACTGATGAAGAAAAAATAGAGATTTTTCACATTGGTATGATAAACACTATAATGCGTATACTTTTCCACAAAACCAGCATACAACCTTTGCACTACTGGAAAGCAACCAAAATTAATGAGTCGTAGAAATGCCTGTTAAAGTTGGTCTTGTAAGCAGGTAAGCATAATTTCAAGAAGTGTGTAACCACATTTTATTTTGAAGGACAGTTTCTGAACATGGAAGTGTACAACAGACTAGGGTACCTGACCTCCCAGCAGAGCAAGTCTCCCTAGTGTTTGAAAAATAAAAGGACTATCTGTAAACATCAAAGGTTGAAATCAATCGTATGAAAATACAGAGAGTAAGTAAGAATTGTTTCTACCTTGCCCCAGGAGGTTATAGAAGGATGCAAAGTATAAAATACTGTATTTTTAAATAAGTAAATTGTATAACTTGTTCAGGCTAGGGGAGACTGCCAGTAAATACAAGCCTTTTGTGTTGATTCTTTTCACCAGGAACGCCGTTAATATCTTTTGAGGGAAGTTCCCAGTCTTCCTTCTACCATTTGTGTATTTTTTGAGTGATATCAAGGCTGACAGATGAGTATTTATTGTTGGCAAATCCAACAAACTTCAGCAAAACAATAAACTTCAACAAAAAGCTCACATTAATTCTGCGCTTGGGTTATGTTTAGCAATTATTAATAGCCTATTATGTTTAAGAAATGCTGTTTCTAGTTCAAGAAATGTTAAATACAGGAAAAGATCCAGCAGCTGAGACTGTCAGCTGGCTCACTACTGGAAATTACTATTCTGAAGAGTTCAGACATCATTAAAGGTGAGAATAATACAACACAGTCATGTTCCTTTCCCTTTCTTTTTCTCCTGTCCTCTGTATTAAATCAGAAATCAGAGAAGGATATGACCTCACAGGCAACCTACTTTCCTCTTCTGCCAATGCAGACTCATTCTGTATGATACTATCCATTTCTGAGAGCTTTTCAAAGCCTGTCTTTAAAATATTCTGATGGTTTTTCCTTTGTTAATTTTGATATATGATTTTACAGTCTAACAGCTCCCTGTTAGTAAGGTTTTCCTGATAGTCAGCCTGAAGCTCTCTCTCATAATTCATTCCCTTAACTGTAAATTTCTTTATTCAGATTCAGTTCTATTTATGCCACACCAGACTGCACCATTCTTCTGTTATTATAATGTTATGTTTTGAGCTAAAGTCTAATTTTTTCTTTCAATTATTTCTCTTACTGAAAGGCAAAATCTTATACTGAAGTGAATACCTACTGTACAAATTATTTTTGCCCCAAAATATGTTTGCAAATTTCTGAGGTTTATCTTATTTTATTTTCTGTGTGTTTTCAAAAGCCTTCATAAAAAAGAAACACTGTCTTTTTGTTTTCCTTGATACTTATACTGCCTACTTATTCATTACTACCCCTGAAGTTTATTAAGGATGCTTGCTTTCTCTTCCAGACTAGTGAAGATATTAAGACACAACTCTACACTATGCAAAAAATACTGTAATAGGACAATCTGTCCTCTTCATACTTTTAATACCTTGAGTTTACTTGGCTTATTCTTCCTCTCCCTGTAACCCATTCCTATCAAAACTATTTAAATAAGTTTTGTAGAATTACATTTATCTTCCTAATATATGTTATTTGTAAGTCTGGGACTACTACTTAGTCTTAGTTCAACTCTTCTCTTGAGGGTATGCTATGTCTCAGCATTTTTCCATTTTACTATAACATCAAATTAGACTTTAATGTTAAGTATTGCAGTTATGGCCTGACATTTACACAGTCACCTTTTCCCTCCCTTTATAAATTTTCTATTGAGTTGTTAAATGTAATTCACAGTTACACTTGGAAATTCATGCCTATAAATGAAACCTTTTTTTTTTATTTAAGGCAAAGCCAACCTTATTTTAAATCATTGCGAAAAGTAAAAAAAAAATTAAAAGCGTCATTTTTCTGTCACTGTAACTGCACATATAGCTTGCCAACTCTTTAAGGAATGATCAAAATGAATCAAATGTCCAGAATTCCAGATGATGAAGGCAAACTTCTTCCTCAAAACCACAGTCAATTCACAGTTACTCATGGTTCATCCAAGTTGCACGCTCTGTATTGACCGAGACTGACTATAGCAGCCATAACTGGTTTGGATGCAATGCTGTGCAAACACGTGGACAAGGCCACATCCAAAGTCGCACCTGGCCCAATAAGGCCCCCTGGAACGGGGGTGCACAATACACGACCAGCTGAATGGATCTAAGCCAGCTTAATGGAAAAAGGACTACCTGGGCTGACTCTTCATTATCTCCATGCCTTAATTTTTAACGTGCTCCACCACACCTGTGTTACCAGTATCCAAAACCCCATTATTGCAATAGGGGAAAGTTCACTGATACTGAATTGGTGATAAAATTAAGTAAATAAACCATTCAATGCTAATAATTTTCCCCTTCCCCCCTTCTTTGTGTCCTATTATCCCATGTCTTCTTACAGGAAAACCACAGGTAGAATATGTACTCGATTCAGTACGTACTCCATCACTGCAACTGGGAGTCTTTGTCAAGTTCTCTAATATGTAGCTGAGTGGACTTTATCTGCACTGGGAATGCCACTGTCACAAATACAACAGTGGGGTGTCATTTACTTGTTGCCAATTGAGTAAGTTCTAAGAGATAAACAGTACTTCTTTTCAGCCCCGTTCCTCTAATCCTAAATTTAACGAAAAAAAGTCCTAATATAATGAAATAAAAATAGAAGGAATTAAATTAAATAATGCTTTGCAAACACTTACAGTCCATAAATCTGTGGAGCAATTTCCAGACGGTTCAGATGCATGTACAGCTCAATATCATGTTTCTTCAGCAGATGATCCTGAATTTGGTTTACCTTCGCTACAATAGCAATAGATGGGCCTAAGTCCTGTGGCCTTGCAAATGGCATAGGTGTAATCATCATATCCTTCTCCTGCAGACACAGAAAACGGGGGAAAAAAAAGAACATCCCATGAAGCTTTACTGTCTAAAGGGATTGTCTACAAGAGATTTGTTTTGTTGTAATCATTGGCTTCCAAATAAACATAAAAATATTAATAACTCATTTCTTTTTCAGGAAAAGAGGAATCTCAAGTATCCCCTTCTGTGGAAGGTATTGTGGGATTCCCCTTCCCAGGCGTGCCAAGGTTCATTGCCTCATTCTGCACATCAATTTTTACGTGCGTGCTTTACTTTTCATGCTCTGACAAAGTGTTGACAGCTTTATTTTAGCTTTAATATCAGCAGACTGAGTCAGTCCAGAGCAAAGCAGATGAATGGTAACTTAGTAGAGAATATATGCCCTCAGAGGACAATAAATTGCATACCAAATAGGAAATAACTTATTTTCAAACAATCCTTTCTAAACAGGCTTCCCTTGCTCAGAAAATCTGGTGGCTGTACTTCAAAATCTACACAATTTTGATAAAGCATCAGAAAACTGTTAAAATAAAAAAGAAATAGAACAGTGAGATGAACCTGATGGTTAGAAGGTAGTTGGTTGGACCTAAAGGTTGTGCAAAACTATGTCACGATCTAGAACATGACACACACCAAGTGAAAACAGAGGAAGAAAACTACTGGAGTATTAGCATCCCTGAACCTGATACTGCTTTAAATTTGTTCTTCTTGCAAAAGAGTGAAGTACTATTGAAAAAGAGACAGAATGCTAGAAAGAAATGCAGCAAGTAATGAACCCCACTGAATAGGAAACATGTAAAAAGGAGGATGAGAAATAAAAAAGAACAAGTCAAACCTATCGAGAGAAAGATTGGGGAAAGGGAAATGGAGAATTAAGCTGCTAGGAACAATGTTAAAGTTATAAAAGAGGGAAAATTGGAACAGTAAGAAGACAAGATTTTGCAATGACTTTGCTGCAATCTGTCATCATGGCTCTCTGACCTGAAAGCTTCACTTTAAAAAATAGTTATTGTTTTTCTACCCTTTTGCTCGGTATATTGATAGAGAAGCATTATCAAGGTCAAAGGGTTAATACTTTCAGAAGACTTCATTACAGCTTAAACTGTTGAAAGACAAATTCACTTGGTTCAATACAGTGAAAAGCACATTATTTTTAACATTCAATAACAAAGAAAGTTTTTTTTGTTGTATAAACTATCCCCAAGGTTGTTTCCTATGATTATAGTCCCTCTTCAACTCCATTCTCTCTGTATCAGCATTTTAAGAGGAAGGAAGAGAAGTACCCATATTTCAGAGTCATTTACAACATGGTTTAACATTCAGCGAACATCTAATAATTTCTACAAAAAAGGCTATTTTTTATGTTGACCTCCTTTGCTTGAAATATTTTTTCTTAATTATTCAGTTTCTGTACTGCAGAAAATATTGTATGATGCTGAGAACTGATTTCAGGTAGAATGTTTCTATTTAAGGATCTGATAGATTATAAATTGTATCTTAAAATCTGCTTAATTGTTGCTTTGCTATGGCAATTGCAGCAAAGGGACTGATCTGTCTATTACAGTGCGGTGATTTTGCCATGCTATTGTGGTACCCAGACATACTCATTTACGATACCCTAACAAATCTCTTGACAAAAGCTCCCTCAGACTGTCAAATAAAGCTCACTGAAATGGCATCCTTTCATTCAAAATCTTTTCTGTTCTACCAAACAGAAATTTTAAATAAAACATCTAGCATATTACGGGCTAATAAGAAATGTTGCTACTTACTTAAATACTGAAGTTCTTCACAGCTGCAGGTACGTTGAGAAAGGATATTTCTCCTACCTCCTTTTTAAATTATTCTATTAACTTCTTTATTACCAAATCGGGCAGCCTTCTTTTCACCCTGATTTTTGTTTCTCCATTGTATGGCTATTTCTTATTGTTGTTTCAGACCCATTTCATTATTTTCTTGGTCATGCGCTAGAATGCAAAATACTGAAAAAGGGTATCCACTAATCTCCTTCTAATCTATATAGAAAAACACTCTTAAAGTATGATATGATAACATTGCCTTAACGTTAAATGCCAGTCTATAGTAATTTTTTGTATAAACATATCAATTCATTTTTGAAACTAATCATAAAAGTCTGTAACTGTACGTATTCATAGACTGTGCATGTTCCATCAGTTGGCACACATCTGGGGTATGAACTTTATTGTGGTTTATTCAAGTTGAGTTTAACTTCAGCTTGACTACTGCATCCACTCATAACCCTGATGACTCAAAAGATCTGTATTTTTACGCTTTTCTCGCTTGTAGGCATAGATTCTTGTATAGCAATCTCAACATTAGAATCTTTCTACTTAGTTGAACTTGTAGTATGAGAAGACTAGCTAGTTACCCAGATTAGCCTTTACATGATTAGTTGTCTGTGGGTTTAAAGCCATCTTTACAAAATTAGAATATAGACTCTTATAAACACTGGCTCAAGTGTCAAAAGATTCTGAATATCAAAACTAATGCAAGCTTCCTCTTACGGAGGAGTGCCAAAACTGGAGTTACTTGTCACTTGCAGCATTTGTGCACCTTGGCATAATGCAGCACTGACACATTGCTGACTGTCAGACTGACTATCAACATGGCTAAGTGCATCAAATAATATATGCTGGCTTGCCATTTTTAAAAGCATGAGATAAGTAAGTGGTATCCATCAAAATGCAGTTCATCAGCATCTCAGAAATTAACCCCATTGACAGAAATCTTCAAAGCATGACAGAATCTGTGGGGACGGCAGTTGCAATCAGTAATCAATGCCTTGACTGTCCATGCCTCCTGATTTGGTGTACTCCACCAAGCAGCTTAGCGGATGACTAGAGTGCATAGGACATGCCTGTTGTCTCCTCTCATGCAATTTAGTTGAGAAAACGACAATACGTTTAGTCAGTTGAAATTGCTCCAAAACATCACATCAGCTGGTGTGAAAGGAACAGCCCAAACAGAAAGATGCTCAAATAAACTAATACAACCAAGCCGCCAAAATGTTTAACTAGAAATGACTCACAATGCCTGTGCCTAAAGCACAGAAGCCAAGCGGACAGCATGATACTGTGCCCCTGACCATACTCACTATATATTAAGCTGCCTGATGAGACAAAACATCCATTTTCTTTCTGTGAGCTTCAAGTCTTGGAAAACATTTGAGTGCACGGGTTTAGTCATCTACTGCTAACACGAAATATAACTGATCAATCCCAAAGGGATGCGGTTCACAATAAAAAGACAAAAAGAGGGACAGCTCAGGGATGTGCTATGCTGTTCACAGGACAGCATCAGGTTCACCTCTAAGAACAGTTTAAATATGGATATCAGCGAAATGCAGCTGAAAAATTCAGATCAAGTATTAGGAACAGAGTCACCAAATCCTGCCACAAAACATTACCTACCACAACACGAACTGGAATGGCTGGCGGTCGATACTAATACAATTTATATATTCATGCATTTAGGAAACAAATGCTGCAGCAGTAAAGAGAGGCTAGGACATAGCACAAGTATAAACTGTGGACAGATTTCTCTCATTAACCACTAGGGAATGGAGTAGCTGGAGAATCTCCTCTAATGGCAATTGGGAGTAATGGAACCAACTGTTAGAGGCTATAAAATGTAACATGTCTCTCAGAGCACATGCTTTCATTGCTTGCTTTGTGAAGATTCAGACTTTATTACGTAGCTAACCCTCAAAGTCATGACTGTAAAAGGCATACGTACAAGAAAGGATTATTAAAGATTATGCATGTTTGCAAAGAACAAGAACAAACAACTAGATACTAATCCATGCGCTTTGCATTGTTAATTTTTTATGCCATGAAAGGACTGGAAAGGGCAACGTTAACTTTCACCTTCTACCCAAGCACTGCAAATCTGTAAGCAGACCTAGTTATTTCCCAGAATAAAATTCAACCTCAGACTTTACCACCTCTGTTACAGAAATTGGAACAAATACATTTGAATACACTGAATTCTGAAAAGCTACACTCAGAGAAACATGTCTCACAGCTTTGTTGTTGGAATAAAAGTGACTATGTAATAAGTTCATAAAATTTGTATCTCATACGCTTTATCCTTAGTTACTGAGAATTATGTAAAAACCCAAATCCAAATAGTAATTTATAACTGTAAATAGCTTAGGCCAAGATGCTCCATGCCTAATAAAATATACACACAGATACATTTAAACATTTAAAGAAAACAGAAGCTTTTATGTGAGTCTTGGGTGAACATCTTTCCTCAACAGACAGGCAAAACCACCTCTCAAACTAGTACTCCCTAATTACAGTTTGCAAATACAGGTTTTGGTGCACACATGTGGACATCCAAACCCAACCAAATTCTTATTAATTTTTTGTTAACTCTAGATACTCACGCCATGGTCTATGTGAAAAATGCTGAAGTGAATCAAGCTGGAACTAAGTTTGGAGGACAACTCTTTTAGGATATATTACACTGGAAGTCTTGGCAATACCTGTAATATGGCTATGTTTTGCTAGAGCCTTCTACATACACTCCATCCCACAAATAATTTTTCAGAATTAGAAAGAGAGAAATGTAAACAGGGAAAGAGACAGGAAAAAAGTATTCAAAGGAAATCTTGAGCAATTGACTGAGGGAATTGTCCCTCATGCCACGCATGAAAAACAGTTACAGGCAAGGACTAGATGGTCCCTAGAAGGTCACTGCAAAGAAGTGTTATGTAAAACTAAACTCAGAACACAGAAAAAGCTTTTCTATGAAAAGAAGCAACACACTAAATACAGTGGTGTCTGTATAGCTACAGAGGAGATACGAGGGCACGGACATTCCCTCTGTTTGAATACCCTGAGGTCAAGAAGAAAAAAAGTAAGGAAATGCAGTGATGAAGTCAGGGAAAGATGCACCCTGACCTTTGATGGACAGTCTATGATTAAAGTTTTGGTTTCACAGCAAATTGTTTATATTGTAAACAGTTGAAAACAATTCAAGCCTCAATACGTTAAACACTGCCTATATACATGTATTTAACATGATATTTGCACAGGTTTTGGGCATGTAGATGTGCTTATGACAGGCATTCTTCTGAATGCTACACAAGAACATCACTCATACATAGGAGAATCTGTGTTTGCACATTTGGCTTTTGATTACCAAGTGATCTTTCAACAGATAGGAACTCTCAACTGGAAGACTTTCCACAAGTGCTTATGACCAAATTCTGAAGAACCTCTAAAGAATATAAACTTGGTTGAATGTGCTTTAACCAAGTTGTTTAAGAGAAGATGCCTTATTAGCTTCAAATTACTTCAATCATATTAAAAATCAAATTAGCTTAAAAATACAATAAATACATTTTAAAGCAATATTTACCTTCTGACTGTCATGTTCAAAAGTTGAAAACCAATGTTCTGCAGTTTTCATAAGACGTGTGAACATTGCACTGAAGGGGAAAAACCCAGAAACTTGGCATTAATAGTGTATTACAAATAAAAGCAAATTAAATGTAAAGGAAGTTGTTAAAACTTACTAGGCATCATGTTCCAGATATTCAGGATTCAAAAGAACTTTCATTTCCTCGCTGAAAAAGGCAACAGTGAACAATCCAAATGTGAATGTTTATTTTTGGTCAGCGTTCTGCATGTACTATTATGTATTTATAAGCCAACTTTCATATAAAGTGCAAATGAGAAAACTAGCCTTTTTAATTAAAAAGAGCAACTCCATTGAACAAATGAAGTCTTTCCTTTTTATAAAGATCAAAAACAAATTAGCTGCCTTGTCTGCACTACAATGAAGTAACCATCTAATTATTCCAAATAACAAATTACTGAATGTCACAATGTATTATTTGAATATGCTTGATCTAGAATAATTGATTGCTGCACAATCTATCACTGTTTGTCCCAAACAAAAAAAATATGGTTACTGGTCAAATATGCAGTATCAAAACATTAATTTATTTTGGTTTAATAGCCTGTATTTTTATTGTACTTTAACAACAATTAATCAGTGACAGCACCTCTTTTCCATCTACTTTGGTGCTTAGCTCTACTTTTTCAGTGGGGATGGAACAGAATGCTGTGCATAACACATGGTTATTTTAAGTTAGCACTGAAGAGCATCTTCTAGGTAATTTCAGGATATCTAAGGACAGACATTGAATAAAAACACACACTTGTAAATAATCTCCATCCTT